GCATGGATGTATATAGTTCATCATGAATATAAAATACCATGAGTGCACATGATGCTATTGAGGTTTTCCGGAATGTAATATAGTGCGTATAGGTCTAAGAAATGAAACTTACGCATTTTTGAAATTTAAAATACAGAGTTGAAGCACTTAAGGTAATCCTTAAGGTAAGTAACTTAAGGTAATCCTCGTCCTCGGTAAGGTAATGTACCATATCGTTTATCTGTAGGGCACCATCGGAGTTCGGGATAATAAAAACTATTGTTACGGCTTAAACACGACTCCGTATAAGTTCTCTATAACTTTCGATTGCCGGGATAATGGTGGCATGAGTTTGTAAGCGTATAAAAGTGAATCATAGGAGTATTACTGTTAATGAAAAAAGTGATTCACTTCACATATTAGGCATGTAAGTGTGTTTTAATCAATTTTCCCTGTTTCAAACTCTACACAAAAAAACCCAAATATTTAATGACCGACGATCAAAGCCTGGTTACCTCTCTAAAATATAATATTCATCATTAAAGTGATTTTTAATAGAATTGCGATATTTAAACATGATTTATTGAAGATATTCATCTTCATCTCTCTTAGACATAGCTATTTTTCTTGCTTTGTGACTATCATCAATTACATAAATTTTTTCTATAAGATAATAAGTTTTTAAGATAAAGAGGTAATTTTTAATCAACATCAATCCATCACAAAATCTCACAAAAATGGGACATTCACAACTGTAGCAAATTTCGTAATACATAGCTCTTGAATATTTAGCAAATATATATTATTTACAACTACCATCAACTATACTGACTTGTTGCGTACCACACCTCATACAAAGACTTTATGTAAATGATGCCAAAGCAATATCCAGTACCAATGTGGGTGTTTTAGGAGGAAATATCAGTTGCGTCTGTGTGCATACATGCGCAACATAACATACTGCACATTTAATACCTATGCAATGTAATCAAAACTATAATATTATGATAAATGAAATAGAAGGTTATTAAAAGAACTTAGTCAGAACACGATGACAAAACATCGTTTTGCTTTAGTCAGTTTGTTATTTTTCACAACATCGTTAATGTTGGAGCCAGTGAATTATAAAGTATTTTTTGCGTGGCGGTAAAGCTTGACAACAATTTTGGCGGGTCACTTTTATACAAACGAACTTAGGTACAGTTATAAGCATATGTAATAAGTATTACGAAATACGAAAATTTATTTGGCATATTCTAAAACAAAAGTGATGCTATTTCATCGAGATCTGCTTTTGTTGCTGCCCATCACCTGTTTTCAATTCGGAGACATGGTCGACAGTGATAGGCTACACGTAAGATGTTGCTTACGTCCAGCCTATTTCGTCGTTGACAAGACCATCTCATCGTTCAAAGAAGGTATTGACGTGAAAATTTATTTGCTGCTCACATGCGTTGTGTTTGTCTGCTTTGCTATTGGGTGATCTTTTTTAGTTGTAGGGTCTGTGGTTGTTAGATTGTAAAAGGTATTTTTGACCTTGTTCATTTCTGTGTCACCCTTCTGCTGACTGCACCCTTCCGGTAGTAACCTTTCCGCGGACCGGCAATGGGCCGCGGCCCGGTGGTTGCCGACCACTGGACTATATATTATATATCTATGCAGGCCGAAGAGTGATGTTTTATCAGTACAATTTCTACTCATTGTAACTTTAAGCATCTAATGTAAGAACAACATTTTAGGAACAGAACAGAATTCAGCATCTTATGAGCGGACAAATAGTTTTAACGCTTTTTTTCCAAGGATGAAATATACGGAAACTATTAAATAACAAGAAATACCCAGATTAACATTAATAGAAGGAAATCACCGCATAGCGTTTTTGGCAATGCCTAACTCGTACATTGAATAATAAATGAAATCACACTATGATCAAACAATTCATGTTCAAGAAAGTGAAAATACCCTGTGACTGAAAATGAGCTTACCAGGTAATGAGAATAGGGGAACGGGGAATATTTTATGAAAGAAAAAGTATGCAAACAAAATCACATTAAAATAAATTTTGCGCATAGCAATGTGGCTCCCTCCAGCTAGTATGTGGCTTTCTTTGAGGACCACGGGCAAACCGCTGTCTTAGCCTGATGAGTTATTGTTGATGCTATGTCTGTTCTGAATATCTGGCAACGCTACCACCCAAGTCCACGCGTTTCGTGGTACCCCGGAGTTTGCTTATGTTACGTGTTCGTGCATGTTGTAGTTGAAGAATTTAACTTGTCGATATTTTAGAACATCACTCAAGTCAACCAGTTGCTGTGTGTCTGCGTGGACCTCAAATGGAGATTCACATGCAATGTATCCTGATCTTTTGGTAATTCGGATGTACCGGCACCGACTAACAAAGCGCTGAAATAAAACGTGAGTGTTGGAGGTTTTAATGCATTTATAAGAGTTTCGTTTATCTTGGAAATCATATCATAGAGTTTCGACAATTATATCGTGACTTCTTATGTTAATATTGGTACGTATGCGTTGTTAGTTACACTGATTCCGTATTTTAGGAAAGTTTTCAGTCAGAATTTATGTTTCGTGTAGTTAGGTACGACAGACAATCCTTGTGAGCGTTGCCTAACAATTTTTGCATTGTTATTTTGAACATGTTATTTTGGACTGATACCCGTCATTTTATTAGGACATTTAAAATTGACGCCAGTGCGGTGTCACAATCGCGCAACAGAGCTTTTCAAATTAAAGAGGCGAATGCCCTCAATGGTTCCGTTACGATAAATACAATGCCACATGACATATGCTAGCAATTCTCGCGAGTTCAAAATAAACATGACGTTAACGAAAGAATCACTTTGTAAAAATACCAAGTTGAAATTTTTGAGTTATTTTAAGTTATTACCCTGTAAAGGTTCTTAACATTTTACCTTTAAATAAGTCTTACGCAAGCAGAAACAAAATTATTAATATTCAGTGTAGCAACACACTCATAATGAGGCTCAATATTTGGTACCACATCTATGATGACTTGTAATTTTAATTCCATTGATATATGAAGTTTAGTACCACACTCTTGTCATAGGGCCTTCTACATTTTCATTCAGAGCGAGCCATTAGACAAGCAGCACAGGATTATGAATTTTGGAATATAGCAATCGTTGTAGTTTAGTACCACACTTAAAAAACGTATTATTTCACCCACAGCGATGGATAGGTGAAGTATGGTAGCACACTTCCTGTTTCCACTCAGAGTAAGGCCGCCGACAAGCTGGAATGTATCTATTGATTTAAATATGTCCCTATCTGAGTGCCCTTACCCCGTATCATTATTATACATACGTCAGAGGAGTAATCCCCAATTTTGAGGTCAATAAGCACACACTATACTGTAATACTAAATGTTCGCATTTTGTAAAACTGCACGGTCGAATTTAATCCAAACAGATATATTGAAATATACACTTAAATCTTAATACCAGCTATACGGTGAAAATCCAAATCCGAAAGAATGCACAAAACATAAAAAAACACTATAATCTCAACTCGCGCATGCAGGACGGAAACTCGTAACAGATCGGTTGATATAAAAAATCTCTGCACGAAGAGTAACGCCTTTGCTACAATAAATCACCATTAGTGAAATTGCTGAAATGACATATTTTCATTATGTTCACTTACTATTAATACGAAAGGGTTAAATAATATTGAAATCCATAGTTATATTCCACATTCGCTAAAGATGTAGTATAAAATTATAACAATAACGTTGTATTATTTTTATTCGATGTGTGGAGTATCGTACCAAACTTTTCATATTAAATGTTTCTAAGTTTTTTTTAGAAATAGCCCCAACGCAAGCAAAAACGAATAACAAACGAATGCAAAGTGTAAATGCGCAAGCTATGCTAAACTGGTTCTTTTAAACTCATTAGACTCTTTCCACGATTGAATAATTACATGTGCATATATCAGCAAAGACTGTTTGAAACATATACTAAAATTTACACGAAGTAACAATGATCAATATGTCGGTCCTGTGAGTTCTGTTTCAATAAACTCAATCTTGAAAAGAAAACATAGCAAGTCAAACAACAAATTAATACAAGCTACACAGTATCCATCAAGATTGCATTTTTGAAATATATTTGATACACACACAATTAAGTTCTTAATTACAGATTGAATAAAAACAATCGGAAAAGAAAGCAAACCTAGCTCTTTGTTCACACGAAAAATGGAACTTTACAAGCATAAAATAGCTTGTTGGCTGTTTCCATCACCCCATGGTGAAGTATAGTATAGTACATTTTTAAAGTCGGGTTAATTAGAAACGTATTAAGAGCGCCACTACTTCTTACATTTGGTCATACTTGAATTATGTGATCATTAATTTAAGCGGAAATAAATCAGAGAATTTAATTTCAGCACTATTCGGTTATTTTTTCCTTCAATAAATCACTACTTTTAGTTTTTTACTCAAAACGTGTCAATTTTCCAGAAATAAATTTTGTACACAAAATACATATTTACAAAATGAGATAATGCAACTTGTTACTAGTCATAAAACAACTATTGCATTACAATCTTGTGATTATCTCAGTTTAAACGCAAAGATGAGAGATGACGCTTGAAAAATAAATCCAGAATAGAATCACTGATATAGATTGACATATAACGTAACCAGGGTTGACAATACACAATTCAAATGGACAGTTTGCTCGTATCGCAAATTGGCTAATTTAACATCTGTGCATAGTTTACGAAGTTTATTTTTTAAGACTTCTCAAATGCATCCAAATAATTATTACAAATTTACAATAAACTTCAAATGAGTTGGAGAGAATGGGCTAAGCCATGATACACATCCTGAAACGTCAAAGTACTTTGGCCTAACCAGTTAACAAGTAAGTTATAGTTACTTGAGAAAGCAAAAGTCAAAACAATTAATAATGAATAGCATTTTCATACATGATATGGTATATGTTCTCCGCTCCAACTCGGGTTCAGGAAGTTAATTTTTCAACGTTTCGGCTTTACTTCCTCGTACTTAGTTTCATCCGAATCTGACTTGATATCACAAGTCTCGTAGGGATTCAAATTTTCATATGTTTTCCTGCTGTTTTCGTCTTTTTTGATTGTCGACATTGGTTCTTCGTAACACGTGGCATCGTTTTCGTAGGTGTATGGGGACTCTGGTTGAATTTGTTTAGAACTTGATGAAGCGACGCTTGATATGAATGTGGTTTCATATGGACTAATAGCGGGAGCATCTCCGGATCGTTGTTGCGTGGCTGATTTTATTTCTTTGTTACTGTTCCTCTTTCTAGTTAAACAAATACCTTTGAGCTGAGTTGAGTTGAAAATTTAATTCTTGTTTAATTTAATTTTTTAATTTGAATTAATTAAATTTTTTTAATTTTTTGTAGCTGATCCCGAAATGATGTAGAAACATAAAAGATATATATAATAAAGATATAGTATTCTGTTGAAATTGAATCAAAATATATTATACTATTAAAAAAATTAAAGGAATATTCAAATGCATACCGTCTAATTATCCAAAAAACTAACAACACCGCAACAATTATGATTCCGATGCAAGTGACAGTAATAGCAATCGTCGTGTTGGTTGCTAAAATAGTATGTAAAGAAGATTACAAAATGACAGTATCAGCATTTTATTCATAATTCTATGCATTATTAGTACTATGAAATAGTTCACTTACATTCCTCTGTCGTTGCTGTTTCTTTTATGAAGTGGGATACATTGCTGAATTTCAACATTACTGCGTTGTCGTCTCCCGGAGATGCAGATATCGTAAAGTAACTGAAATGAAAATAGCAGTAAACAATGTCCAATTATTTTCCAGGATTGACATATATACTGATAGTTTCCTTAGTTCTACGAGTAGTAGTTCTATGATAGAATGTCCGCAATAGGTTTTAACATCAAAAACAATACAGACTCGACGTCAAGTCATTATACTTTTGTGCTACTTTAGATATTTGAACTTGCCATCGCAAGCAGGCATAAACCGCAAGCAGGACATAACAATTTATTTTTTGTATTCACCTGTATTCTGCGCCATCTTCAAGTTTTAGATTATTTCCTTTTATTTCAATTTTGGCTGCTTCTCGTTTTGTGCGAACTGCATTTATATTAGCGTTAACAATGCATGACGACACAGTTTCATCACCTAGATTTTTTGAAATCGCACGACTTTGCGCATCTGAAATATCTGACCTTGAAATAAAGACAAAATATAAAAAAATTTAATTCAAACTCGGGATATATTCACTACATTTCGGTTTTTTTCTTATCATTCGTATATTTTTAAAATATATTTTTGCTATCTATTTTTCTTCATTCGAAAACTTGATATTTTTTGTTTCTGATTTTTTTACCTCCAAATATTATCTTTTTTCGCGTTTGCCAGTAAAAAATAATGTGTTATTGAAGAAACATCCCATTATCCACACAGGTTTAGTGCCTATTCATATTAGACATGCTTGTGTACATGCGGGTTGGCTATTAATCCCAAAATAATAATTTAATACCTTGTCATTGCAAATGCTATATAAGCTTCATTTTCATTTACTTTTGTTTTGGCGAGTTTGACAAGATCATCAAATGTTTTTATCCATTGATTTGAAGTGTTGTCAGGTTTGTAGACAAGAATCAGAAATAAGCAACTGTTAAACAGTGAAATAAAGTTTGATAATGTGAAAATTTTACTCGATTCACTGTCATATACTGAGTTTAGGGTCATGTGTATGTCTCTATATGTTATCGAAAATAGTAGGTATGCGATCAGCACCATTAAACAGCTGATAAACAATGAAAGCATGCAAGCATTGTGTTTGTCGTGTCAGTGGAAAATATTGGTTCGCCCGTACGTTGTATAGTGGGATTATTGGCTCAATTTCCTATATAAACCAATTGAAAACAGTTACTATGCACTCAAATCTTTGTAATCTTTCTCATATACAGTAGTTTGGTATATTTTCCATCAATGTTCACCTTATTGGTCCATTACTTTCTTCTGGGAATGGTATTGTGACACCGACATCTCCGTCTTTAGTTGATTTTACTATCGCAGGTACGTGAACTACATCGGGTGCTGAAAAATACTAATGTTAATTCAACCAAGGCATACAATTTTAACTAATTATTAAAAGCCCCTGTGCCCATCGTTAATTGTTCCTTCATCCGCAATCAATTGTTAATAAAGGTTATTCAATGAAAAACCAACTTTTACTCGACATAGTATTTACTTATCGATCTTAAGATCGGTAAGTATGTTGATAGGTATTTGTCTGTTTGTCTGTTAGATACACGCGATATCTTACGAAAGCGAGGTTGAATCTGCTCCAAAATTTGCATGTGCATTCATCATAGTTCGGAACAGAAGCCTATTGATTTTCGATGAATTATGTCGTATAATTAGAGAGTTATTAATTAATTAGTGATGGGACACATGGTGTCACTATGGAGTAATAGCGCTGTTTTGGGGGATCCCCTAACCTCCGATCGATAAGTCTTCGGTCTCCGACCGATATTCTCGTTTAACTGTTATGTGGTAGACCGGTGAATTTCATATAAGTATACTTCATACTGTGGAAGATCGTTATTAAATAGAGATACCACAAAACATTGTTAAAAGTTTGATGGGGATTCTAAATAATAAATTTCACTACGTTTGAAATGTTGATATAGTTTCCTTTTTGAATTTATATCGCTTCATTTTCTAAACCAACAAAAAGGTCGGGAAATTATTTAATTTCCTTCATAATTGTGCACAGCATGCTGTTGGTATTTGCGCAGCGTTAATAACGAGACATAATTTTTCTGTCAACTCACCCCCTCTTTCTGCGACACAACTTCCCAACACATCGAACATTGGACCGTGACCAGTACATGTCACTGCCTGAATGCTAAATGAATACTTTCTGTTGAAGGAATAAGCAAAGTTTACGTGGTTCGGGTCTGTGGCTGCATTGAGCTCTTCTATATGTGGCCCATTTGGTTCAATTGCTGTGTAGACAAGAACTGACATTGCGCGTATCTGCAAATGACATTGTTACAAATATAATCTCAGCCTGTTCATAAAACTTCTGGCATCTGTTAGAATAAGCTTGAAGGTCGTTGGTGAGCAAAGAATACAAATTTGGAATTTCAAGAATACTAAAGATATTAAAATACAAAGACAAACTTTGAATCCAAGTATTTCATATTTTGTTGCATCAATCTTCCAAGATATTAAACAAGATTTGTTCTGTGTTGTTTTCGTTACATTAGCTTCAATTGCCAAAATGTTAGAAGCAATCGCAGCTTTTATTCTTATTTTTCTGCTTGTTACAAATGGATGCTCACACTCAATTGGACAAACAGTCATCTGAAATATGAAAAGATTATATATATATATGATGTGATTTGGGTAAATTAAAAAGTAAAATGTCGTTACACATGGAGGCGGTCCACGAATATCTCTAATTTGGTTTTAACAATATTGCGCGGATATTGTTTTCATGACCTCAGCGTGAGACTATATTTTTTCGTAAAAAGGGACTCAGGACAACCGCGCTAAAGTCTGTTGCTTACTCCCGGTTTCTGCTCCATTCTACGGTACTGAAGTCAACTGTTATAGTCAAATATTCTTTGACACAATATTATTAAGATTGTTGATTAGATAAGGAATAAGGCTTTTACGTGACCCTATCGCACGTGATTGTGAGTACTAATGTGCAGTACTAATTATCATTTGCATTCTGATACATGAAACATCAACATCATAAGATTAACACTATTCTTCAAACGTAATTCTCTAGCGCGACTGCAGTGTAATATCTTAATGAAAAGCTGAAATTGATTATAAAATGGTTTTGACTAATCAAAATCTGCTCTACTAGCTAATGCCTCTGTTTATCATTTATTTTAGAAATACTTACCCGGATAAGATACGCTGTAGAATAATTTAAGTTTAATAGTCTCAATGACATCAAATTTTGATGGGAAGGAACAACATCTGTTCTCCAGTTTTGTAAAGTCGTATTTGATTCTTCATGTATGACATCAATTCTTTAATATATTAAAACAATATTAATATTTTGCGATGAAACTATAATCTTCAATGCATTGGTATTTTGCATTTAAATTTGTAGCCTAACTAATATTTAATTCAATTATTTATGAAAAAAACCTGTGTAAAACTCCCACTGCTTCTGCTGAAGTAAACCACCTGAGTGTTATATTAGTGCTGCATTCGTCTACTGTTGCATTGAAATTTTTTGTGATATCCGGAACTGCAATTGAAATTGGTGAATTAATAACTATAACTTCTAGATTTGAAGCTAAGGAAATGAGTCAAAAATATCAAACTAAAATTGTTGAAGTGACGCATTCGCGACGGACAGAAGTATTTTTTATCAAAATCTTTTTTTGTATGAGGAATTAAAGTTCACCTGGAGGTAATTAAGTAAGGGCAAAACAGGCTTTTCGCAACGCTATATGCTTTGGATTACTAAGCTATTATTATGAGTCATATGCATAAAATGGTTTCGTTGAAATTGCATATATTACAAGCAACAACAAAGATATCGTATAAATAAGACGGATATGTTTTGTTTAGTCGAATCTGATATCGACCGTACAAGACAAATTATAGTTTGTGTGATTCGTTCAAATTAAATGTTTCCGAAAATGTAAAAAAGTTGATTTGTAGGTATCTTACTTGTTCTTTCACAAATGAAGCCAATAATTGATATACAATATGAATCAGCCCATTCCCACTGATAATTTGTTCGCAAAACTAGACAAGATACATCATAATAGGGCCTTCCTCGATGCCAAGCAACATAATTTCCATCTACAAAGCCTTCATTCTGCATCCACCTAAACATTTTCTTTTTTGGAATATTGATAAAGATTATAGATGGTCATGGAACCTATCAATAACTGCTGATTTGTCTTATGCATACCACGGTGTTCTTCATATTTAACAATCCCCTTAACCTAAATGAAACAAATGTTAAAACACAATATCCTAATTTTCGGGTTCAATAAAGTTTATCAGGATATCACATGTTTTAGAATTTAGGTGACAAAGGTGCAACCTCATGTGGCACACTTATAATGTTTGGTATACTCGAGTACCAAACCATCGCCTGACATATCCTAATATAATTAGCATACCATGATACATTCTATACTCGAGTGTCTATTTTCAAATATGAGCTGTTTTGGTGACTATCGTGCATTCCGTATTTGATCCGTTATCACACTGTATTTAGAAGGATAATCTTGAGACCAGTGTTTCACAAAGTTTTGTCTGCCAGCGCCCTCTTAGATGATTTTTTAACTAGCAAACGCTCCCCTGACAAAAAAGTCAATGTAACTTTATTATCCATTTATCATTACTATAATGTGAAGGTTGAGCCTAGTTAAATACCACCAGCTTGGTAATATCTGGTAATAAAAAAACTTTTGACCCGCTCTCACATGTGAGAATATTTCATTTTGATTCTGTTGCTAAAAAGATTGAACACTGAGAGACTGAACATGAGTTTGAAAGAAAAACCCAGTGGTGGTGGTGCATTTTCGCTTCTGGAAATTCAGGGTTATCTAGAAAACGAAAACCAAAATTATTTTAACTGTCTCCAAAAAAATTATTTAATTTTATATGCGCTTGAACTTCTGTTTGCGTATAATTATACTCAGAAGTTTACTTGAGGGATTGATAGAGGTGACCAGCAGCGGTTCCAGAATGTCCCCCTACCCCCATACGCCAAATCAGACGCTTGCTTTTCTGAAAAAAAAGTCAGCAATGTCATCCAGTGGGCACCTTAATTATTGGACTGAAACTTTTCAGATTCTGATATGTAGGGGTTTGAAGGACAATCCTCAAACGATTGGTGAACTCAAGACTGCATTTGCAGAAATAAAATAGAGAAATACCCAAAGAAGAGTGATTGACAATATTGCAAAAAGAATGCATTTTTTTCTTCAATGTCGAAGAGAGCATTTGGAACACATTCTAGGAGCACCTTAATTTTTGTGCAAAACGTCGTAGATTTTTCTGCACTTTTGGGAACAAACGGAAGTTCAAGTGGGACTAAATTAAATAGTTCACTTCATTTCGTAGAAGTAATCGAGAAATTGATGGTTCCGTTTTCTGGGGATCATGCTGTATAATCCTTTTTTTAATATAAATCAGTTAAATATGCTGCTTAGGCGAGAAATTTCCAACACCGAAATCACAAGCAAACTAGTTTGAACCAAAACATAGGATTGAATGACATAAGATATCACACTTCATGCGAGCTCCCGTATTGACGTCAGCGCCCCCCAATCGCCCAGTTCGACAGAAAGCGCCCTCCAATTGCCCAAATTGCCATCAGCGCATCCCAAGTTATCGCAAACTCAAAAGCGTTTTCGCCCACTTTGGGAACCGCTGCTAGACTCTAGACCAGTGGTTTTCTACCGGTCCGCCAAATATATTCCAATATTAGTGTATTATAAGCAAATTGCAAAACACAAAGTATTGTCCATCAATTTAGTGATTTTTTTTAAACTCCTATTGGTTTGTAGTACCGGTATTCGTCTAACAACTTGGTGAGAGGTCCTCACCTCACCTGAACGACTGGATTTTGGTAAATCTATAACCAGGCCATGGGCCGAAATTTGTAAGCGCTTCTTGAGGGGGAATCTAAATATTGGTGGGTCAAAAAGCTAAAAGCCCAATTAACTAAATATAAAAAGTTGACATCTCCAAAGTGGATCATTACGTCACAATTGATGATGACGTCACATATCTTTACAACCCATATCTATCATATGAAAATTCTACTTATATCTATATTTGTACGTCAAATATCGAAACCTTTTATGTTTTTATAAAATAAAATTTTTAGACCTCATAACGGCGGCGAATGTCATAACGGAGAAGTTTGATAGCACATAGTACGTAACCAGATTGAGAACTTCTTCTGTTACCATAGAGGAGCTATTTGTTGTTATAAGTCAACACCTAAAAGATCTACGCATTAGTTTTAGAAAATACTAAAAATACTATCCAAAAATGGCGTCATATCCTCCTCAGGGAAACTTTTGGATCGTTGAATCTTTTGCAAAGGATATTAATTCGTACAATCTTAACACTGGTGTGAAAAAAATCGATGATTGAGCTTTCCTGCGACACCACGTTGATGTACAAGCATAAAGAGTTGCCATTGTCACAGTTTTGGATATCTCTTGAAAACGAATATCTCGAGCTCAGTGACAGAGCCCTTAAATTATTGCTGGTTTTCTGTACAACTTATCTTTGTGAGAAAAGCTTTTCAACGTTAATTCTCGTCAAGACAGAGAAATCGTGTGGAAGTCAACGCTCTACTTCGCCTTCAGAAACTTCATTAGAACCGCGTTTAACACGTATTAAATCAAAATGACAGCAGCAAATTTTTCATCAAATTGGATTGATTTCTTTTGCGTCGGCTACTTTTTTCGTTATAGCATTCTTTCGATTATGTTTTGTGTTCGTGACATTTTTGGTTTATTTTGAAGGTCCGCCGGTCAGCAAAATTTGTTTTGAAATTTTACCGGTCCGGGCGGACTGAAAAAAGTTGAGAACCACTGATCTAGACTCTAGACCACTGGTTTTTAACCGGTGGGCCATGGCCCACTGCTAGGCCATAGAGACATTTTCAAGTGGGCCAAAAGCTTATTAAAAATTACTATGGTTATTGAAAAGTTTAGTTTCATTGTGTCTTCATAGTCAAATTTTCATTGTAGTAGCAATGAATGATGCTGCTGCTTTTCATTCTAATTATTAAAGTGAAAGTTTTGTTTTTCTTTTAGGTTTTCCCTTGCATGAAATAGTTAGTGGGCCACGAAAGAAAAAAAAGTTTGAGAACCACTGCTCTAGACAATCTTGTTGTTATTTGCTTGCTAGCATAATGCAAAATTGATGTGCAAATTACAAAGCCACACTTGTTAGATTATTTATTAAAACAGTGCGCACATCTCCCAATTGCTGTTTCATTTATTAGGCTTTCCACCTATATATTTACTTTTGCCATTCGACTATTTTCCCAGGACGTTGTTTTTTCATATCACGTCATAAGAATTGTTCGATGAAATTTGCACAGAGGAAAGAAGAATTTATACTAACCTTCCATGCTTCGTCTCGTTGTAAAACAATGTGTTATCATTCCATCTCCATATTGCACTATTTTCTTCAATTGTCCTTTTTGCACCTATATATACTGTTGATCAAAAAGAATTTAAGTAGTCTCGTATCTGCCAATACTATTGGTCGTTGAATTACGATTTTATATGCAGTATTAGTGTTAAAATTATGTCGGACAGATTAAAATTTGAATTGCAATATCGAATATTATTAATGCTTACTGTTTGCTGCAAACACGGTTTGGACAATCATTGATTTCAGAGATGCTTGAGTTTTGCTGTTGGATATTTTAGCCAGACGACTTCCAGTAGAATAACAATAGTGTTGAGCACCGGTCATATTTCTTTTTTCGTGTTGAATTTTTCCGAATAATTTATACAACTTCCCAGAAGATATCGCGACATCTGAAAATATACGTATATATCGCTTTTACAGTAATAAGTATTTTATCCACTATACATGAAATATTGTACACTAATGAATACAGAATGTAAAAAGAGGCGAAACTGATAAGTCGAGATGAGAAGGCGTCGCGAGAAACCAGGACTGTTTATTGAGCAGCGACACCCGATAAAAAAAAAAACTAACAGTAATTAATAATAACATAAACGAGAATATCGGTCGGAGACCGAAGACTTATCAATCAAAACTGCGGTTTTGATTCATGACTCCATAGCGACACCGCGTGTCTCATCACTAATTAATTAATAACTCGCTAATTATACAACATAATTCATCCAAAGTGGACAGGCTTCTGGTCCAAGATATGATGAATGCACATGGAGCAAATTCAACCGCGCATTCGTGAGACATCGCGTGCATCTAACAGACAGACAGACAAATACCTATGAACATATTTACCGATCTAAAGATCGATAAGTAAAAAGTCGAAAACTTAGCAAAAGAAATATTTGAAGAAATTACGGTCGAGGCGACCTGGGTTTTTCAGGAGACGCCTGATACACACAAAAAAAGGCTCCTAGCACCGGTGTGCAAGTTACCATGGAAACAGCAGCAAGAGTACAATGCGGCGACAGAATATTACCGATACTGTGTTACTGCATCATGCTCATGGTTGTTGGATGAAGATTGTCATCAGGGTGTCCAATTTCATAGCATTACCAATTGAAAATTTTAATAAATTTGGTTGTATAATAAATGGGGACTACAACATTCAACATCTATAACATCCAATTAGAAACAGGTTGACTATAGTAAATTATAATCGGTCGAAACGTTTTGGACACCCTGTATATATATCGCAGGAGGTGAAGAACGCCATTAAAAGGCGTAATACCAGTGGGAGGTGTTTGCCAGTGTGCGAAAGAAGAGTGCAGGTGATTGGGTAAGGCGCCGGAATCGTCATAAATTATTAGAATACATAACATATATGAATTTTTTCTTATCTGAGCAGAACAAGTTCACTCAATATATAAATGAAGGGTAACAATAAGTAGCATTGTGAGTTGGCCAACATATGTGCCGCATGAAATAACAAGCATTATAGAGTGATTCGGTACATCAATGAGAGATTAAATAAACACTGATTAACAGTGGTATTACTGTATTAGAGAAATATCAAAAACATAGCACAATACCAGTGGAATAGGAAATCTGCTAGCCTCTTACAAGATATATTGAAGATAGCTATAAATTTGTACTTGAACAGAGACCGATCCTATGGATACCGGTGTACGGTTGGCTTCAACCTAGAATAGCCTATCAGCCACTTACAAAGATTGTGAAATCATTAATAGATTTAATTATCATTATAGGACACATGTCCATGCAGTAAGTAGCGCTGGGCATGCGCTATCAAAATATATGAGGATAAATAAACAACTTCAATATTACCATGAAACCTTAACAGAGTCTTCGTTCCAGGTACTTTGGACTCAAGTATTTTGCTGACAGTGACTAGGGAAAAAGCTGTTAGCGCATCAAGCAGATGTACTGACAGAAAACAGGTAAATTGATTTTTATATTATAGGACACATTTCCATGCAGTAAGTAGCGCAGGGCATGCTGCATTTTAAATAATATTTATGCTTAATATAATTTTTCAAATAACATTTTGGATATAAATAAGATTACTTACGTATTTTAATTATATATATATATATATATATTGAAATATAATAAGACAAGATATCTTAACGTCGAAACTTTTACTTTTTACATAAAACATGTTGATGATAATATCTAGGCGCGTGATAATAGTTTATTTGCTATATTCTGTCATCGAGAAAATTTAGATTCCCGACTACTCCCACTTTTATGTAAATACTAGATCGCAATTAGTTAACAAAGGGGAGATGAAACAAAAACCTTAATCTCTTGTTTTACAATTTTAAATTAATTTAAAGATCGATGCACAATACTAGAACAAACGTATATATATATACATACTCTGGTTCATTTGAAAAACCTTTACATCGGACGAGTTTTCGAATTCATTCCATGCAGAGCAGACAACTTCCATTGTCCCCAAATATTCATGTAATGAAATATATAATTGACCCATGTTTCTGATCGGGCTATACGCGGGTTCAGCATAATTCTGATATTTGAACACTGATCCAGAAAGATTTGAAACAATCTTCTGATAATTTCCGCCTCTTTTAAATTTCCATTCTATTTTGGGAGTCGGAAATCCGTCGTACAAACACATTAGTTGAAGAGATTCGGAGGTGGTGTTTGGCATTGTTGCTGATGAGTTGACGAGGGTAACTTTTGCTAAAAACATTAACAAATTTATTTGAAATTTTTTTTAAACATTATTTTGAGTAGTAAAAGGATAATTCTTTGGTTTCTTGAAGCTTATGAGAGTTTTTGTTCTTTTTATTAAAACTTAAAACATTTATTTATTGACAATATGTCACACATCTCATTTAAATTTCAAAAGAAAAACTTCTCACCCCTTACGACTGCTGTAGAATTTGACGACTTTCTAATTCCTTGTATCGTATTAGTTGCAACGCAGGTATAGATTCCAGCATTGGAAATGTTGGCTTTCTGGGCATTGAATTCAACATAAGTTTTATCTATCCGCTGATATACATTGGATGAAGTATTTGTGGTGATAAGTGTTGAATCTTTGTACCAACGAATAGTTGGTGATGGCACGCCGGTTGCGTAACATCTGATAGAATATGGGCTTGTTCCAATGGTGATACCTGTCGGTTGTAGCTGACTTATTGTAGCTTCAACTGAATTATATATTATAAATAATTATTTTATATAGGCCTACCGGTGTATATATATTATAAATTATATGAAAACGAATATGCTACGTTTTACAAAGTCTAATATTGAAATCTCGTAATTAAAGATTGCATCTGGCGTTCATTCATTTTCATTCCAATGAGGCCATACAGTTACTTGTTGTTTGAAACATATTTTGAGCATACCTTCAATAACGACAGTAATCGATGTTGATATGAAATAGGCACCAAGGTTGGATTCGGGGTCTGCGCGGAAAGTATATATGGTTTTCGTGCTGGGATCCATAAAAGGCCCAAGCTGTATTTCGGTAACATTTGAAACAACATTTCGTTTGGTAGAAATCACATTGTTGAAGTTTGAATTTCTGAAGGCTCGTATTCTCACCGGGCCGTGATTGCTTTGGATATTTATCGTTACTGTGATAGATTCCCTGATGTTTGCAGTGTAGTTTTGTTTTGTCGAGGAGATTGAAATTGGAGCTGCAAATTAATTTTATGTTATTTATAATTTGAATTGAATAATAAAAGTGGAAGATTTCATATTTTTATTCTAGAGAATTAAATACAACGCATTATGCAATTATTCAAATTTTTACGCCAGTAAAGTAAATTATAAAACAAATGAAAAACATCTGATAAAACGAAATTATCTTAGAAGAATATCGTTTAGTAAGCAATTTAAAAAGATATTGTTAATTCACATAATATACATTTGAGAAATTTATGTATTTTGTTTACCAAAACTAACAACTATGCTGAATAATATTATCAAAACACGAAAAAATTTATGTCATAAAACATATATAGTTGTTTCAAACTGACTTTTTAAACGTACTTGTCTCACAATTATTTCCTGTAAAACCATTCAAACATTTACAACTTCTTTGACACCCAATACTTAAGCAGGTTCCCCAATGAAGACAAGGGGATGAAGAGCACAAGTCAACGGCTATAAATAATAAATATTTTTATTGCTTTATCAAGCAAATTGTTAGTTTCTTGCATTACTATAAACTTTTGTTTTCAGCTTCCAAGAACAATAAATTTGACTGCATATTTAGGATATATAATAGGTATGTTCGTGATAATATGCTAAATGCTCCAGCCATGACGTCGAGCGACTAGCGATCAAACATAAGGACGAGTTGCTACTACAAGTATATATAGCGCTTGAACAGAGAGAAATTCGAGGAAGTACATCTTTCAAACTTTAGGTCTGTCCGGTAAAATGCGTATGAATTAGTGCTCAAATAATTGGTTCCCATCTAAAAAAAAAATCAAATAACTTCAAAAAATATTTAAAAACTGACTGTGAAAAATTTCCCCAAGTACCAAACATTCATCTATTTCGCGCATTCATAATGAACGATTTCACAATATTATTTTAATTCAGATAAGTATTCAGCCATAGAATAAATTTTATAACAGCGCATTGTCTAATAATGACGTTTGACAGTAGGGACTTAGATATTTGAAGGTAATGTATATATATATGATTTCATTGAAACTTTGCGCTAATATACAAGCATACATCTTTTCACAACATTGAAATTCATGAAAGTTTATTCTGTAGAGAAAAATAAGACAAAACAATAACGCAATTCAAATATAAAGACGAATGTAAAAAAATCAGTATAAATTTATTTTGTAAGACGGAAGGGCGCTCTCAAAGTATGTGCAACAAGATGGCGCACAGCCTGAATCCTACCCTGGTACACATTCCATGTTAAGGTTGTGCGCCATCTTGGTGCTCATACTTCTGGAGGTCCGACGGGAGTGTTGAAAATAAGCACAAAATAAATAAAGATGGCGTAGTAGCTCTGACTACAGTAAACTAAAACTTACTTGAAACCTCGCAAACATATCCCTGAGTTCTTGACCCGTCATTATTGATCCACTTCATATTGTCCCTTGTTGTCATATAAGAATTCATAAATAAATATCCATTTCCTTGGCTTATTCCAGACCACGACCACTTTCCATTTGTAATAAGCGTACCGTCAAGCCATAACCAATCGGTATTAGGTTTATAAGCTCCAATCCAAAATGCAATTGTTCCTCCTTCGCCATACTGTGCTAATATTTGACTTTCAACAAAATCTTGTATTGCGTCTGTTTTCATCATTGCGACTGCTCCTCCAAGGCTATTGCAAGTTGCATTTGATCCACCAAATGTTTTCCTTATGTAATTGTTGACATGATATTTGCAATTTCCATTAAACGTATATTTTAAATCTGTAAAACATAATCTATTAGAAAATTTAAATTTTACTTTCCGAAGCATGATACAAGATGACAATTTGATGTAAACCAGGGTTTACAATATATGATTATCTAAAATAATTACTACGAAGACAAAATGGTTATAAAATGATGTACAAGTACACTAACAGCATTTTTTGTATAGATTTCTAGCGTAGAATTTGTGAATTGTATGTACTAAAATTTTGCACCTTTACATAACAGTATACTTGGATGTTTATATCATTTCCTTTTCCGATCTTTTGTAAACTTTGGATATATATATGCGCTTTTTATTTACCTTCACAAATAGTTCCATTGTATTCTGGCCGACAAGTGCAATTGTAATATGGCTCTGCAGTCGTATATCGACAGGTGGCCCCATTATTACAAGGTGATGAATCGCAGGCATCTTTAAGTAAATTTGTACACATATTCGCATTTTCGCTGTCCCAATTGGGATTGATATTAATTTTAAGATTGCGAAGGGAAAATTATTGTTAGTTTTCTAGGAAAAAAAAAATACCTTTATAGCCACATATTATGTTCAAATAAAAACGTAGATACATCATTGATAAAATATCCCACATTTCTTAACATAGACACATTTCAGAAAGTTGCAGTCGATATGCATGGAAAAAAATCTAAGAAGCCATCGCGAAAGAATTTACTCTCTTTAATTTTTTCTATCACGAATACAATATATTCTTTGTAATGCAAATAAAGTTTATTTATATACATACCACTAACTACCGACGTCAAAGTAACTAGTCTCGAGTAAGACGGATTGTTGCTCTGAGGACCAGCTTCAAATTTGTACGAAATAGTTGTCGACCAAACATCTATGGGACCAATGTTGACTGTCAACGTAGTTGAAGGATTGCTGCTACTGATATCGCTGGTCGTAACGGTTTTAATTTTTACGTTATTCTGATTTCTGACATCAACATTAACGTTTCCATCATAGGATTCAATGTTGAATTGAATATCGATGCTTTCGCCTCTGTTCACACTTCTTGTTGTAGGTGTCGTAGAGATTGTTATAAGATCTAGATAATACGGAAAACGAATTCGCGATAAAATTTCGTTAAGATGAAATCTTATTTTCGTGTCTTTAGCAATTCAGACTATTTGATTCTATATAATATATACCTAATAAATTTATGACTCAATTAACAAAACGTATCAATGATTAGTATCAAAGTTCGGAAAACAAAATTGAATAATATCCTATTATTACAGAAATTCATTTATTCACATAAAATCTTGCCTTTTTCGCATTTTGTTCCAAAATACCCCGCATTGCATGTACATGTATACCGTGGGTTTTTAATCTTGCAGCTTCCCTTGTTTAGGCACACATCACTACCACAGTTTCCAGATGACACACCTGAGAATATATAAATCGTATATAATATTTGTATGTACAAACCTTCAACGAACAACTGATAACTTATTACATTATTTACAATGTTCATTTTAATATATAAAGGATTTCAAACAAATGTCAGTGGTAAATGGATTATGTAATATTTTCAAGTAGCCTAGGTACATTGCTGATTTGCTATTATATTATCATATGGAATTATACATAGTATTTTTCTGCTGCGGGATTGTGAGAATGTGAGCGTAATCACACATATTGAATTTTATATGGAAGTATACGTGCATATTATGTCTTATGGAATATCTTCAGTTGGTTTCTTTTTACATCGGAAAATATTGCTTCAAAAATCAAATTATTGACAATAAGTGTAACATCCAGTGTAACATTATCCGTAGATATATGTTTATTAGAGATTTTTCATTTACGTACATGTATTATCAAAATAAAATCCAACTTTTTTTATCAGCAGTATATAATTGAGATAATTTGCTTAATATTTTAAATATGTTTTTTAAATCTGTGGATTATAAAAATTGACCTCAATTTAGGTAATAAAGTTTGATTACTCACTCTTCTGACAGATATAACCAGCTTCTGTTGAACATCTCCCATCAATCCATTTATAACTTGCCCCGGCATATTTCATCAAACAGTTTTCATTTGTTCCCCCATTTGGCTCGTTTCCCCCAGTCTGTCCTCCTCATTCTAGACTCGCAAAATGAAAGATTATAAGATATACTCGTGTATTCCACAAGAAACGTGCAAAATAAATTTGCCTGTATTAATGTGAAGTATAAAAGCTCAAAGTAAATTTCAGCAATAACTTTCACACTTTTTTAAGACTTGAATTTATGTGGCATCGTAGTTAAATTCGACAATTTATTTCAAAAAAGCGCAAATCCTTATGCAATTATTATTTCGAAAATTTGAAATACCGGAGACATTGATATTTTATTTAAATATATTTATTTAGACAAATGCAAGATATACTTCGTGCTAAACATGCACATTTAGGAAAAAAAAATAAACCACTCATAATTGAATACATGACCGTATTCAATTAGTCATTATGAATTATACAGTAAACACGTGACGCTTAAAATCGAATGTCGCGGTGAAGCCCTTGCTTGTGTTCAGTAGTTGCGTAGTTTACATGTATTGTGATATATTGTTTGACGCTTCTGACATTTATAGTCGAGGTAAGAATTCAGTGAAAATAATTGAAGCTCAATAGGAACAAATGTTTTGAAGTTAGCTCGATATATACATCTAATTAAATCACCAATTTGCATCAGTTTTGCTGATAGTTGTCCATCTCCCCATTTCCAATTGCCTTCTTTCTCTGAATCACTTCCACTTGTCCAGTAATTTACGGTACCACTGAAAATAAAAATCTACTCACACTCTACTCGGTTAGAGATCGTCGATTCGCGTATACTACATAGACCGCAAGAGTTTAAAGAAGCAAGCCTCCGAAATATTTTTGAAATGAATTTCGCGTTTTAATATTGAATCTTATTTAGTGATTCAGATACAGTGATTTAAAAAAACTGGATATAATATTTATTGAAACATGAATCTAACGGAATAACAATGTTATGGTTGTTGAATGAGATTTTATATGAACTTCACCATATTTTTATATTGACTTATTAAAAAGTATACCAAAGAAAAAATAGGTGTGACAAGCGTACAAACTCCGAGTAGATCAGTTTGGTACACAGCATCAAGTGGGTTCGATTATTAATAATAATTACCTCTATAACAATACTTACTTCTGAGATAGTTTTGTCGTCAACAGTGAATCTGATGCATTAGTTGTAATAGAAACTAAGCTTTTTCCAATAGCAGTGCAAGATGATTTCGCATCAGAAACTGATTTCTTTGGACTACTAATTATTGTTAAAGCCAAATTACTGTTGTAAAGGATCCAAGTCAAATCTGAATACAATATTCAATTTTGAGGCTGAAAAACAATCCTCGTAACAAAATTTTATAATCAAAAAAATCAGATTGTATAAGAACATTGTGTGCTCTACTATGTATGCTTCCACTTTCCTTTATAGGTTTTTCAATTTTTTTTTTAATGTTGCTGCAATTTTGTTTTCATAAAAAATGACAATTATATTACCAAAATCACCATACATTTTTGTTTTTCAATAAAAACATAAGAGTTTTAAGTTACTCAACAGCGTGGTGTCAACATCAGTTTTCGGTAACATGACTAAGAAAGTTCCCTTCCGAAACCCAATATACGAATTTAGTGTAAGAATATCAAAGGGAACGTTCAACTCAATTCATATATTTCTGAAATATATATATTAGCAGTCAAATATTATTATGTTCTATATTTTAATATTCATATTAGTTTACTTATTAAGTGCTTCACATTTGCGATTGTATTCTGCGTTAAATATTGTTTAAATAGGCATTTTTGAAAGAACTAGCGTAATATAACAAAAGATTGATAAATCCAACTCACCTGATTGACATACATACCGCAACCCGACTTTGCAGTCAACGTTATACCATTTTCCATCTGAAAATCTAGATGATCCACAGTAGTTATCATAAATGTCGCGAACAGGTCGGGGATAATTGGTGGCCCTGAAGGAGTAAAACATTTTTGCGCAAGGAAATTTTCATCTTATCACTTGCACACAAGATTTTATTGCTTGATGTATGCAGTTTGGAACTTCAAAAATAAATATTTCAATGTATTTGCTGTTCCTTGTCGTCAATTTTAAAAAATATATCGAGAGAAACAGATATGTCTGGATTATTTCAATATTCGAGAAAACCAATTAACCAGAATTCTTCGGTAAAACCTCGCACAAAATCTAACTAAAGTTAAATTTACATATAAAATCCTAAAAATTGTTGAGGTTCTTTTGGATGTGAATACAGTGAAACATAGTTTATTATCGACGGGAAAGATCATTTTCAGAAGAAAATATACATCACGGGTCAATTGTTTCAAAATAAAGATTCAACATTTTTATTTAGGAGTGTAGCTGTCGAAGAATAATTACTTGACGGTGACAAATAGAATTACTTTCGATACCAATTGAATTTTATCAAAGTTTTATAGGAATAGAGCAAATTTTTACAGTTGGAAACCTGCCACGCCATTTAAAAAGTAGTTCAGACATACTGTAAAACCGACATTTTTAAAAATGCACTAAAAAAATAATTAGAATTTTTAGCGTATATAAGATATGTGAATAAAACGAGTACGTATTATATTTCCGATTAAATTATTATAGATATACGTCATAGTAGTCTACAAATCTTCATAGTTTCATGATGCAGAGAAAGTCACAAAAGATAATTAATACAATATTAATTTAGATTAAGAATATACTACACATATAAAAGATATGCAGTTTGTATATTGTTCAATATTTTTTTAAATATCATTTTGTACGGATGGCGTTAAAATATTAAAATATTTGCTCAAGAAAAAGTATCTGAGGAACGTGCAAACATATTGAATTGAAAGGAAACATATAATGGTATTACTAACCATTTTGTATATTTCAATGAATCCATGTTGTTCCATTTCCATCCACTGTCATAATGCAAACCGATCCAAATAGTTTGTCTGAAAAGAATTTACTTGCTACGATTTTATCTATTATTTAAATAATTAGGTA